TGCTGATGATGATGCTGATGACTATGATGCTGATGCTGATGATGACAATGCTGATGATGATGATGTTGATGACGATGATGATGGTGTCCGTGATGATGGTGAATCTGCTGCTGCGGCTGTTCATGAAGGTGACCACTATTGTGCTGATGATGGGGATGAGGATCACAATGATGATGCGGACGAAGGTGATGGTGGCGACGGTGATGGTGACTGTGGTGGTGAAGATGTTATGATGGTGGTTGGCACGATGATGAGGTAGTGGTGATGAGAACTGTGATAGCTGATGGTGATCGCGCCGCCTCGCAGGAGCCAGAGCGCAGCGATAACTGGGCCATGATCCCCACGATGGTGATCGTACACAGTGCAGATATGGACATGACAGTCGTTGTGCTGATGGTGTGGATGTTGAGCTGATGCTGCCTCGCTTAAACGTGGGGACGATGACGTCGATCTTCTTGGAAGTGTGTATGGAGCTTTTGGTGGTGACGGGGATTCAGATATACGGCTTTTGATGGTGACGATGATGACGATTGTAATGAAGTTGATGACGGGGCTGATGATGATGATGATGTTCCTACTGCTGATGATGTTGCTGCTGACAATGATGATGATGATGATGATGATGAGGATGAGGATGAGGATGAGGATGAGGATGAGGATGAGGATGAGGATGAGGATGAGGATGAGGATGAGGATGGTGATGGTGATGATGATGATGATGATGATGATGATGATGATGATGAGAGTTTTGGTGGTGATGAGTTTCAGAAGGGGCAGGGATAGGTTTGGACCACCATCTGGGCTTGTCGCCGCTGCCTCTTCTTCTCCATTCGGGAACGCGCCGGGAGGCAACATATTGTGTTTGGGCCGTTTGCGGGAAGCGCCTCCTCCTCTTCGAGAGTGCCAAGGGCTGACCCCTCGCCTTCGGTGGAAACTGGCAGAAGGCCCGCGGACGCCAGCGGAAGTAGAAAGGTGTGGCGGACGGCTCCGCCAGCGGAGGTCTGGCGGTGATGGTCGATACCCCATGAGAGGTCAACGTCAGCGCCCCCTGCGTTTCGGGCGCTGCTGTGCGCCCGCATCGCCCACACGACCTGGCCCCTCGCACACGGCTTCCCTCCCTCCTCTCTGCTCCCTCTTCGCCGCTCCGTCCCTCCTCCCTCCTCCTCCCTCCTCCCGAATCCCTCCTCCCTCCCCGCCTTCCCCTTCCCTTTTCCCACCCCCCACCCCCGCCGGGCAAGTGCCCAGGCAGGGGTGGTGTAGGGCACCTTTCTGCGGGGGGGGGGGAGCGCCGCAGGTGCCGCGGCGCGGCGGGCACCTTGAGCAGGCGGCGGCTGCGCCCGCCCCTCCCCAGCCCACAGCAGTCTCTCGTGTGCTCCGTTCGCGGCGCCTCTGTGCCCGGCCTGCCCCGCACGGGAGCGCCGTGAGCGGCGGCGGCGGCGGCCGCGCCCTTCGGCTGCGACAGAGGCGCCCCTTCAAGGGAGGGCGGCCCGGGCATCTGCGGCCCTCGGTCGAGCCCCTGGGGCGATACCGGCGCTCGGGCAGAGCCTGCGTGTCGCCAAAGGCGCGCGTCTCTCGGCTTCAGGGCCTTCCGCATCCGCCCAAGCGGCGGAAGAACACAGGGTCGACGGCTCGGACATTCGCGCGTAAGCTTTCCGCGTACGGTCGCGCGTGAACGCGCCCTGTTTCTTTTCGTCGCTCACCTGCTGCTGCCTCTCAGGTTCTGCTATCGAGCTTTCTGGCCCTTCTGGGGCCCACGCGAAGTCGTCCAGAGACTGTTGGAGGAGACCTCCGGGAGGACGATCGTCTTCCTCCCTGTCCCCCCCCATTGTGCCCACCGCCCCTGCCCATCGAATTTGGGATACTCGGCTACACCACCCCCACCACCGCTCCATCTATTACCGCCGCCCCCAACCGCCACCGCCAGTACCATTGCCACGAGCACCGTGTTCAAACCACAACAACGTCTGTGATCACCCTCTCTGTCTTTGCTAGGGGTACTGGCTGTGAGGATGGTGGTGGTGCCTCCTCTTAGGATTGTGGTGGTGTTTCCTATTAGGTTGGTGGTGGTGTTGGTGGTTGGTTGTGGTGGTTGGTGCTGGTGGTGAGGTGTGTAATGGTTAATGGCTGAGGCGGTCCCTCGTTGTGGCTGCTCTCGGGCGACGGCGGGTGTGGTTGGTGGTATTGTTGGTCATGCTCGTGATGATAGGTGGTGGCGGCGGCGGCGATGGTGTTCGTGGGTGGTGTTTGGCGTCGTGTCTGTATGTGTGTGTCTCCCCTCCCCTCCTCCCGTCCCGCGGCCGCTTCCGCCTGTGTTCCTCCTCCTGCCGCCGGTTAATTCGCGCTTTCCGTTGCCCAGACCGCTCGAGCGCGCGTGCGGACTGCCTCTGCCGCGCTGCGACGTAAAACAAGTGCGTGTGTGTGTGTGCGTGTGTGTGTGTGCGTGTGTGTGTGTGTGTGTGTTTGTGTGTTTGTGTGTGTGTGTGGGTGTGTGTGTGTGTGTGCGTGCGTGTGCGTGTGTGTGTGTGTGTGTGTGCGTGTGTGTGTGTGTGTGCGTGTATGCGCGTGTGTGTGTGTGTGCGTGTGCGTGTGCGTTTGCGTGTGTGCGTGTGCGCGTGCGCGTGCGCGTGCGCGTGTGTGTGTGTGTGTGTGTGTGTATGTGTGTGTTTGTGTTTGTGTTTGTGTGTGTGCGTGCGTGTGTGGTGTGTGTGTGTGTGTGTGTGTGTGTGTGTGTGTGTGTGTGTGTGTGTGTGGTGTGTGTGTGTGTGTGTTGTGGGGGGGGCATGTGTGTGCGGACTGCCTCTGCCGCGCTGCGACGTAAAACAAGTGTGCGTGTGTGTGTGCGTGTGTGTGAGTGCGTGTGTGTGTTTGTGTGTGTGCGTGTTTGTGTGTGTGTGTGTGTGCGTGTGTGTGTGTGTGTGTGTGCGTGTGTGTGTGTGTGTGTGTGTGTGTGAGTGTGTGTGTGTGTGCGTGTGTGCGTGTGTGTGCGCGTGTGCGCGTGCGCGCGCGCGTGTGTGTGTGTGTGCGTGTGTGTGTGTGTGCGTGTGTGTGTGTGTGTCTGTGTGTGTGTGTTGGGGGGCATGCGTGTGTGTGTGTGTGTGAATGTGTGTGTGTGTGTGCGTGTGTCGCCACCTCCATTGCGGCGAGGTCTGGCCTCCTTTGCGGCGAGGGCCAGGTGACCCGCGGGCCTCAAGGCCGCGCATAGGATGAGTACAGCACGCGGCCGGCACCCACCCCCTGGCTGGTCGTCTCCTGGCTTCAGGGTTTGCGACCGATTGCGAACCCTACTCCTGCGGGTCCAACCGACGCTTGGAGATTGGACGCAGCCTCTGGGGTTCCCGTGGCTGCAAACATCTCCCCGAGTTCTGAACCCCAGCCGGCGTTTCAGAAATCTGCTCTTCAGGGGTTGGCTTCGCGTTGCCTGAAGGGGCCCCGGGGCGCCCCGAGGCTTCACGGACGGAGAGCACGAGAAGATCAACCGTTGCCCGCCGATGGGGGCGCCTGGGCGGGGGCGCCTGGAGAGCGTGTGCCCTCCACGGCACACATGCCCCCCCCTTACCCTGGGCCCCTTCTGGCCGCCCTGCCGCCCGGCGGGTTCGGGGCAGCTGCCGTTACGAGGGAGGCTTAAGGAACTAGCGAGGAGGGTGGGAGGTAGAGAGCGGGGGGCTGCAGGAGGGGGGAACGGATGGTGGAGGAACGTGGACGGATGAGTTACGAGGGAGGGGGGCTGGGATGGAGGAGAGCAAGCTCGATGGTGGAGAAGCATTTTGACAACTGCAGAACCTCTACTAATGGGCATCATTGCACGCTTGAGCATGACGCGGGCACGAGAACGGATGGCCATCCATTGGCGTTGCCGCGCATGTCTGCCGCCGCTGTTGGGAATGCGGAACCCCCGGGGGGGGGGGGGGGGGGGACATGCCTTCGACCAGCGAGTGATCGGGGACAGGGCCTCGACGCGGGCGTGGCCGAAGATCTGGGCCAGTCCGAGGGCTCGCTGGGGCCAGCCATGAGCGGGGGGTGGGGTATTGGCCAGCTCGGGGTGGTCTCCGAAGCCCACCAGTGCTGGATGCAACAAACGGAACGTTGAGCAATCCAATGGGTTTAACGATTTCTTGGGGCATCTTGGGCCGCTCGGGTCTGTCTTGGGGCCTCTTGGGGGCCATTCCAGTGCCGAGTCTTGCCATCCTCGGCCCTCCTGGGGCCATTGTTGGGGGCATCTTGTGCCATGCTGGGGCTATCCTGGGGGCCATCGGCTGGGGCCTGGGCGCCCGGAGGGTCTCAAAAGGGGCCTGGGGACGGAGGGGGGCGGTGCGCGGGCGCTGCTGTGTTGCCCCCGGGGGAGTGGTCCCTTCGAACCGCGGAGCAAATCCTCACAGCACAGCCCGCCATGCCAGCAACCACTGCGATCTTGCGCGCGCAGCGGGGGTGACACTGGCAATCGTGACTTGCAATTTGTGTGTGTGTGTGTGTGTGTGTGTGTGTTTGCTCCGCCTCGTCGCTGCGCCCGAGGCCGCTACCGCCAAACAAGTGTGTGTGTGTGTTGATAACGAGCCCCCCTGGCATTCCTGGAGGGCTAATCATGGCTTCACGATCTAGACATCTAGATCGCAGTCGAGGTTTTTCAGCACTCTGGAAGGCCAGGCCCCAGAGGCCGACATCGAGGAGAAACGCCGCGACTGCACAAACCATATCGTCGGAGATCTGCGAGGCGCGGATTTATCCATGACTACCGCCTGGGGAACTGAAGTCCTGGGACCCCATGGGGTCGATGGACATGGCCTCTGGGCCCCCTTGGGCCCCAATATATCCATCGCATGCCAAGGTCGGCGAAGATCAACCGGCAGCGAGCGAGGGTGGGAGGCGAGAAGGCGGAGGCCTTCTCAGAAGGCGGCGGGGCTTCTCAGAAGTCCTCTTGCCTTCTGAGAGGTTCTCTGCGTCTTCTGGCACTGCTTGGTTTCAGAAGGCCAGAGAACTTGTGAGCCCTCTGAGAAAGCCCGGCCCTTCTCACTTCCCTCCCAGGCTCAGCGCCGAACAAGTGCCCCAGGTCTTGGTTGTGGATACGTCCCTGCCTGGGAGAGGAGGGGCCCGAGGTGACTGGACACTCCGACGGAGCCTGCGCCGTGCTCCGCCTCGTCTCCGAGCTGCCCGGCGCCTTCGCCGCCGCCGCGCCCGTGTCGGCCTACTGGGACGACTCGGAGCTCTCGGAGCTGGCTCCGCCGCGCGGGCGGCTCCCCGGCCATGTCTCGTTGGCGCCAGGACAGAGGTCACGCAGGCGATCTCTCGCCCCGAACCCTCGTCACCGAGCGCGTTCCACGACTCGCAAAGTGCCCGCTCGCAAACGTCCGAGATACACATGCCTGCTCTGATGTAACTTACCGCAGATCCCCCGCGGCGGATCTGGGCCATTTGCGAGTAGTTGCTTTGCGAGTAGTGGGACGCGCTCGTCTACGGACCCTGGGCTTCTCCACGAAACATCCAGCCGCCCAGAAAAGGAGGCAAACTCGGGGACACACCCTCATGCGGCCATTCGGACGCACCCCTCTCGAGGACGGTCGCCCCCCGATCGTGCATCCCGGGGTTGGGCCGCAAGTCTTTGGCACTTTCGAAAACCCCACGAAGTCGGGGATAGGGGATCGACACCTTCCCCTGGTAAGGTCGACGAACTGAGCGCGCTCCCCAGACTCCACTGCCATCATGGAAAGAAGTCGTGGCCGCAGTTTCTCCCGGGCTCTTTCTGGGCCTCGGGACCGTCAAAAGCGACTTAGGAGGAGACACGGGTCCCGAGAAATGGATCGAGACCTCTGGGGGTGGACGTTTTGAAGAAATCATGACGTCGGGGGTCTGGGTTTGTGGTCTCTTGAAGGGGGGAGTTTTCAAGCCGGTTCATCCCCGAAACATTCCCGACGTCCAGAATCCGGGATCCCCCCTGGCGCCGACAATCGGCGACGACGACGACCCCCCCCTGGTGCCTGGCGCCTGCAAACGAGTCTGGTTCGCCAGGTGCTTGGGATGATGCTGTGGGAGGCCAGTTTTCGACGTGTCGAAGAATGTTTCACATCCAAGTGCCCGTGAAACGCGCTCTCTCAAGCGGAGCACCTTCCCTGGTCGCCCTGCCGTTGTCCTATCGACGTCGTCGTCGTCTTCATCATCTTTGTCGTCGTCGTAGTCGTCGTCGCCCTCGTCGGTGTCATTGTCTTCGTCGTTGCCGACGTCGTATGTGTCGTCTTCGTCGTCGTCGTCGTCGTTCACTTCGTCGTCGTTGTGGTCGCCTTCCCTCCCCCTATTCTGCATGATCCCGCATGGGGCCCAGGTTCCTGCAGTGCCGTTGGACCTGCCCCTGTGGGTCCGTTTGCTCAGCTGCGCTGCCAGTCCCGCGCGGATGTGCTCCTCCTCATTCTCCGCCTTCTTTTTCTCCTGCCCCCTCTCCTCCTCCCCTTCTCCCGTGTGGGGGGGGGGTGCTGTTGTTGTTGATGCTGATGATGATGACGATGATGATGATGATTTTGATGATGATGATGATGATGATGAAGATGATGATGAGCTCGCACTTCTGAAGAAGACTGATTCCCACCTGCCAGGTGCCCATTGCTTTTCCAATTGAAGTTCGCCCCGCAGACCTCACATCCTGTTGTTTGCCAGGGGCAGTCTTAGTGCTCAACCTGTGTTGCTTGGCCCCAGGCTAGCGCAACAGCAGTTCCCGTCTGATATATCCTCACAGAGTACCCAGGGATCGCGCTGTCACTGGATACCTCCTCTCAGAGTACTCAGTACTAAGCGAGACTTCGTGGCAATTTCTCCGGGATCTCGCTCTCGCCCGAGATTCCTCACGTTTGAATGAATCAGGAACTGCGCCCTCGCTTTGCAGGACACGCTCTCTCGCTGAGACTCCCGCCTGTCTCGCCCGCTATGGTCCGCTCGCCCAGCCCGCTCTTTAGGGCCCGCCCGCCCGACTTGTGCGTCATGGTCCACCCGCCCGACCCGTCCGTCAGGGTCCGCCCGCCCGACCCGCCTGCTTGGAGGTCCGCCCGGCCCGCCCGTCAGCGTCCGCCCGTTCGCTTGCCTTGAAGCCCGCCCGCCCGCTTGACGTCCCGCCCGCCCAGCCCCGCCCGTCAGGGTCCGCCCGCCCGCCCCGCCCATGGGTTCCGCCCGCCGGATCTTCCCGTTTGGGTTCGCCTGCCCGACCCGTTTGTCTTGCCTTGTCGGGTTTACTTGGAAGTTGGGTATACGTCTAAAGACGAAGAGGGCGGGAGTCAAGGGCCCGGGGTATACAGGCAGGGCGGCACGGGAGCAGAAGAGTGTTTGGTGTTATAATGTTTGTTGTGTTATCGTTGTTGTTATTGTCGATGATGGTGGCGATTGTGGAGATCGTGATGGTGAGGGCGATGACGCTGCTGAAGAGAAGGTGATGACGATGATGGTGGTGGTGATGAAAATGACGAGGATGGTGATGTCCATTATTATGATGATGCTGATTATAATCATGATGACGATCTTGATGATGATGATGTTGGTGATGATCATGATGATGATGATTTTGAGGAGGGGGATGGTGATGGTGTTAATGGTAATGCTGGTGATGATGATGATGCCGAGGAGGAGGATGATGTCGTTTATGATGACGATATTGATGATGCTGCTGGTGATGGCGATGATGGTCTGGTCATGATGATCACGAGATGATGCGGATGATAATGATGATGATGATGATGATGATGATGATGATGATGATGATGATGACGATGCTGATGATGATGATGTTGGTGATGCCGGTGATGCTGATGGTGATGATGATGATGATGATGACGGCGATGATGATACTGACGATGATGATGTTGGTGATCAGGATGATGATGATGATGATGATGATGATGATGATGATGATGACGCTTGTGATGATGACGAGGATGAGGAAGTTGCTGCTGCTGCTGATGGTGATGATGATGCGATGGTGGTGATGCTGATGATCATGATGATGCTGATGATGATGCTGGTGATGATGATGACGATGATGTGGAGAAGAAGGACGTTGATGATGATTAGGAGGAGGACGAGGATGAGTATGAGGATGAGTATGCGGTTCATGATGCTGCTGATGATGATGCACCTGATGATCCTTATGGTGTTAATGACGATTCAAGTGATGATGAGGGTGATGATGATGATGATGATGATGATGCTGATGCTGGTGGTGGTGAGGATGGTGATGATGATGACGATGATGATGATGATGATGATGATGATGATGATGATGATGATAATGATGATGATGATGATGATGATGATGATGGTGATGATGATGATGCTGATGCTGATGCTGATGCTGATGCTGATGCTGATGCTGATGCTGATGGTGATGGTGATGGTGATGGTGATGGTGGTGATGACTCTGATGATTGTGATGTTGAAAATAATGGTGTTGATGGTAGTGATGATGATGAGGAGAAGGAGGAGGATGTGGATGATTGTGTTTGTGGAGGTCGTGATGATGGTGGCGACGATGATGACGAGGAGGAGGAGAAGGAGGAGGAGGAGGGGAAGAAGGGAAGTAGAAGTAGAATGCAGGAAGCAGGACTGGGGAGAAAGGGCGAGGAGGAGAAACACATGGTTGTGGCCTGTGTGAAACAGCGATAAGGCTCTTGGGGCTACGATTGAGTTTCAGAGCCTACCTCCTCGGCCTCCCTTCCTCCCTCCGTTAATTGGCACCGGAGCGGGCCGAGAAACCCCACACCATCCTGCAGCCACCGTGGACTGACACTGGGGAGGGGGCCCAACGTGCCTCCACAACTTCAAACTTCGTGCCTGACAGCGTCAAACCGCTACCATCCAGTGCTTCCTTCCTCCCTCCTCCATGCGTCATCCCTCCTCCTCGCCCTCCCCCTCCTTACTCCTTCTCGTCCTCGACGTCGTCTTCGTCGTCCTCCTGCTCCTCCCCTGCGCATCGCGGCGATCGGGAGTCGCGGGTATGAGTATCCTCTGTTGTGAGGGGCAGGGAAGGTGGAGGTGGGGAAGGTTGAGGAGAAGGCTTGAGGGAGGTTCCAGGGGCGAGGTTTTTGAGTGGTGTTGGATCTCCTCGGGCCTCCGCAGATCTCCAGGGACGTGTGTAGGCCTGGACTTCTCGAGAGTAGATCTTGGGAGACTTTTAGCAGTAGTGAGGGACGAGTCGGAGGGGGGGCTTCCTCGTCTTATTCCTTCTCTTTCTCATCTTCCTCTCCCGCCTGTCTTCTCATCTTACGGTCCTGCAGTCTGAAACTCAAACAGCTACAAAGATGGAGGGCAGGTGGTTTTCAACATGTCATTCTAGCGTGAGCAGCTCGTACATTCGTCTTGTAAGTTCCCGAGGGGGGAGGATGGTGGTTTTCAGCATTCAGTTCTCGCCACAGCGCCGCGCACATCCGTGTTCAAAGTTCTCCGCACTGACACATGCCCAGGACGGTTATTGTTAAAAAAGGGGACATCGTTTGAAACGCCAGAAACCTCAAGATGCACGGCAGTTAAATCGATGGAGGATGGAGAGCGGCTCCTTTTCAACAGGGGGTCGCCTTATTGGACCAGGGGGCGCTCGTCTTTGGAGAGGGCGATGTAGTGTAAAGGGAGTGCGTGTACGGACTTTTTGGAGGGGCTGTGGGAGGGGAGGGTGTGTTGCAGCGTCGTTGATATAGCATGGGCTCACTCTGATCCTCCGCTTTCTTCTTGTCTCCTGGTGAGCGTTTTTGTTTTCCCTCCCCGGCGTAACGCTCGTTACACGGGTCCCCTCCCCCCCCCCGGGTAACGCTTACGATTGTGCTGGGGGGGGGGGTCCTGGACCCCCTCCCCCCCTACATGCTGGGAGCGGACACCCCGCTGGTATGGCGCTGCTCGCAGGTGTGGCGTGGTCTGAACGGCACGCACTGGTGCTCACAAACGTGTTGTGGCGCTGGCAGGCTCGCCATCTGTTGACGCGGCGGCGACGCCGGCGCGGGCGTTCAAGATTGATCGCGACCCACGGGGCCGTTTCTGGCCC